CATAAAAGTATTGCTCAATGCTAAAAATAAAAAAAAAAAATTGACAAGTCAAGGAAACGTGATTTCGTTAATTACATAGTTCAGTTATATAACTCATGAGAGGGAAAAGCTATATGTTTTTATTTTTCAAATAGGCCACAGAAAGACACAGGAATGTACTTTCTCGCTTTCTTATATTTGAATGTGCGATTTTAGAAAGTTATGACACATTTCAACCTTTATGATTTATTTTTCGTTTTATTAAAATGACAATATCACATGAAAAGCATCCTTTCATGTAATAGAAACATAACAATGCGGAACAGGGACGTCGCGTGAGTTTTGAGAGCGGTAAGTCATCGGAATAAAAATTTTAACAGAAAACCTGTCCAGGGCAACTCTGTGATCCCAGTCCCGGGCCGCTTAGCCATCCCAATCCGCCTCTGTTTGAAACAGTGAGAAGTCAATGATCTCCAATAACTGTACGGCTAATAAAGAAGGATTGTCTATTTTTGGAACAGTGAGAAGTCAATGATCTCCAATAACTGTACGGCTAATAAAGAAGGATTGTCTATTTTTTGGAACATTGAGAAGTCAATGATCTCCAGTAATTGTACGGCTAATAAAGAAGGATTGTCTATTTTTTGGAACAGTGAGAAGTCAGTGATCTCCAATAATTGTACGGCTAATAAAGAAGGATTGTTTATTTTTTGGAACAGTGAGAAGTCAATGATCTCCAATAGTTGTACGGCTAATAAAGAAGAATTGTCTATTTTTTTGGAACAGTGAGAAGTCAATGATCTCCAATAACTATACAGCTATTAAAGATTGTTTGTTTGTTTGTTTTTGAATTTCGCGCAAAGCTACACGAGAGCTATCTGCGCTAGCCGTCCCTAATTTAGCAGTGTAAGACTAGAGGGAAGGCAGCTAGTCATAATGCAGACATCTTCAGTCCTGTTAGAAGTCACATCCCAGATATGAATGTCAGCAGAAGGGGTGATCCAGTACGAAGGAAGCCACAGGAATTCGATGGGAAGGCACCGTGGGAAGCATATAGAGCACAATTTGAGCTACTGGCAGAGATGAATGGATGGACAGAGGAGCAGAAAGCAGTATATCTAGCAACGAGCTTGAAGGGACAACCACTGGAAATACTTGGACAGTTGTCAGCAAACGACAGGCACAACTATGGAGCACTGGAAGCGGCTCTAGAACTCAGGTATGGAACTCAAAATCAGTCCGAAGTCTACAGGGCTAGGTTTAGCTTCCCTGTCACGTAGATACTATGTGTGCTTGCCATTTTACACTTAGCTGTTGGGACATTCACGATGGAGGTTGGTGGGCGTCCCTTAGCACCAACCACTACTGGTTTCCCGAAGCTGACTTATTGGTGTTATTTTTCTTACACTGGCTCCTCAGATGTCCTTGCTCTCCACAGTTCTAACAACCTT